GAGAGAGAGAGAGAGAGAGAGAAAGAGAGAAAGAGAAAGAGAAAGAGAAAGAGAAAGAGAGAGAGAAAGAGAAAGAGAAAGAGAAAGAGAAAGAGAGAGAGAAAGAAAGAGAGAGAGAGAGAAACAGAGAAAGGGAGTCATGGGATCGAAACCCCGCGAAATAACCTGTCTTCCATCGGTGTTGCCTAGCTTTAACTACAGGATGCTGGAACGGTCCCCCTAACCACCCCCGCGCTATTATCGTTTACCGAGACGATTGGGTAATTGTTTAACCCTTTCCTTATCGATGGGAACGCGAGTATCTTTATCTTTGCTATGAAGAGAAGAGTGAATTGTTATCGTAATCGTGACCACCGACGCGACGTGAAATTATGACTTTGTGCGGCTGATCGCTGCTGATGCTATCTTTTGATTGGAATAGAAAAATTATGGGAGATGAGGGTACGAAACTGTAAATGAACGTTAAACTTTGTTCGAGGTCTACATTGCACAGTTGTCGCAGCTATGTTTTAGAAATGAAATTGGATCGTAATTGATAAATTTAATTAATTAATTGGTCTGTATATATGTATATATTAGTTTTTGATTTCTCATGCCGAGCCGTGATCAAATTGACTTGTTCAATTAGGTGCAGTCGCTAAAAGTGGTATCGCGGCATGCCCGAAGCTCCTCTAATCAATAGAATAGACCAGCATCCGACCCTCGTGTATCAGAATCTAATAAAATATCGATACAACCTCTACGAGTCTTCTGTGACTCACCAACCGCTAATAATGCAGATCGGGGACTTCTCCAACACCCTGTATGTCTATCACAATCTCATTCTGTTCTATACAATCTCAGTATTTATAACGGAAACGTAGGAAGAAAAGAAAATTTCGATTTGAAATGATTAAAATAGATTCTATTGAGTCGTCCCTTGAATTCTTGTTCATTCATGAAGCAATGTTCAAGTTAATACTGAAGAACTATCAATTTTTTGGTAAATTCACGTCGACTCAGCACTGTCGCAATCTAAAACCATTCTAACAGTTTCAAGAATTCCAATGTCATTGCATTTTTAATTTCATTCGACTAGTCTTCTTGTGTACGAGAGAATAATACAAAATGAGACGTTCCCGATTTCTTCTTTTAGAATTATTGAAAAGGCACAGATACTTGTTTCAGGAAATATTGAGGAAACTGATTTAGTAATATTTAAATTGATATATACGCCAATTGAAATCTTAATAACTACACACTTGTGGCTTTCACGAAGAAATTTTCAAAAGTTTAAGTACTCGGTAGTTCTAGTGTTAAATAATACGAAATTCATTCTTTACGAATAAATGATTCTGGACTAGAAAGAAACGATTGACACAAAAACCCCAGAAATCTAAAACCGTTCCCACAATTTCAAGAATTTCGATCTCTCTGCATTTTCAGTTTCATTCGACTCATCTATTATACACAAAACAAAATAATACTTTTACTAAATAATCAAAAATTCAATCTCATTCTTCAAGAACAAATGATTCTAGAACAGAAAGAAACGATTGACACAAAAACCCCAGAAATCTAAAACCGTTCCAACAATTTCAAGAATTCCAATGCATTTTCAGTTTCATTCTCTTATACGCAAAACAAAATAACACTTCCACTAAATAATAAAGACTTTAATCTCATTCTTCAAGAAAAAATGATTCTAGAACAGAAAGAAACGATTGACACAAAAACCCCAGAAATCTAAAACCGTTCCAACAATTTCAAGAATTCCAATGCATTTTCAGTTTCATTCTCTTATACGCAAAACAAAATAATACTTCCACTAAATAATAAAGACTTTAATCTCATTCTTCAAGAAGAACCGATTCTCGAACAGAAAGAAACGATTGCGACGCGCATGGGACGACCCAACAAATCCTCCCAATAATCAGAGCCAGGCAAAAAGTTATCCGGTCGTACCTGTAGGTGCTAGGAACTCGCCGGGGCTACCGCCAGGAGGTGCAGAGGGCCCCTGTCCAGGAGGGCCCGTGAGAAATTCCGGAGGGCCGCCTCCCGCACCCGGTGGTGGATATTCCCCTGTCACCGCCACTGCGGCCGCCATACCCGCTAAACTCGCCGGGTCCAAACCTGTCAGGAACAGATTACGCACTATTCAGAGAGGATCGTATCCGGCCTGCTATCTCCGAACCCGGCTGTCATAATTATCGCGACCTACCTAACCCGCTACGATGTTTATTATAGTCGCGATGGAATCCCGGCGAAGGTAAGAGAGAGAGTCGGGGAGAGAGACTGTTTCGATCGGCGGGTTTCGCGATGTGAACCGAGCAACGCGTGGGACAACCTAAAGCTAGCGCATTATCAACCACTAGGGAATTTCACCTTTCTCTTAACGCGTGGCTTCTTTACTTCGCTTTCTTTATTCTTTTCCTCTCGTTGTATTTATAGACAGATTATGGAGAATAAACGATCATTGATATTAAATTATTATTTACCGTTTAACGTTTTCTATGCTTCACGAGAGTTTGAAAGATTCCTACCAAAGCTACTACGAGGACTAACTCGCGAACAAATGATGTTATTAGTCGAATAGCGAGAGATCAGACCGTAGTTTTTTTCTATTAATTAAGCAATATGTAATTTAGCTTCATACGTGGAAGGTTTTGTATGTCCCGAAGAATCTTCGTCAAAGTTAACACATTGCGTACCGGCTAATTATCAGAAAATTATATTGTGCGGATTTTCAGTGAGATCTACTTATATCACTATCTATAAAAAAAACTCAGGTATCATATTGTTATGTTATATTTTAAATGGACAATTATTTCTAATCAAATTTAATATTTCCTTAAATGCTGTTATAATTATCAAAGTTATATAGCTAAGAGTCTTTATATAAAAACGAGATGTCTCGTTACCAGTACGCAATGTGTTAATGTTTCATTGGCAATGAGCTAGGCGCCTATTTGAAGATGAAGCTATAGTGAGTTACCGTTGTAATTTTTGCAAATGAATAGAGTAGAGTGACTATCCGGCAACATTGTCTAACTCATGGTCACCCTGAAGCCACTCGCAATTTCTCCCGACAGCGACTCGCGATAATTCTACGCCCAAATGGACGCGCACCCTAACACGGTCGTTTCGCGTGTACACCGTTGTGCGGTGTGTAGGACTGTCCGAGAGCGATGAAACGATACGCCGGCCAGCCGATCGATTGTTACGAGCATGTGGCACCCGCGTTTAAGGTCTCCTCGCGTTCCTCTCGGGTAAACGATCATTAGACGGATTTTACGCGTCCGCGGCGCAAGCGGTTACCCGGGACCCGCGGCCGAGCGAAGAAACTTGTTCCGCGAGGTTCATTGTGGTCATTGATTTAGTTGGCATCTGATAAATGGTTTACCGCCGCGATTTACAATGAGAATTCCGAAGCGACGACGTCGAGTCGCGTGATATGTCGTCCGCAAATCTCGCGAGGGTTGGGGAACGCCGGAGCCGTAATACATTCGCGGACAGCGGATGCAAATTCGCGTTTTACTGGCTCCGGTAATTCCCGTAATCGCCGGGGACCGCGGCGATGAAAGCAGGGAACGGCAAGAAAGTAAGGAACACAGTCGTTTAATGCCCACGGCGCACTCCGTATCCGCATAAACATCCGCGGCGGTCTCGGCAACGCGTTTGTTCCGATGCGATCGCCCGAACGCTTTCTGATTTTAGCGAAACCTCGCATTATATAAGACCGAGATAAGTTTCAACGCGTGATTGGCCGTGCGCTAAACGGTTTTCCCCGTAACATGTTGATACTTTTACGCTCCGGAACACGCAGCGCCACGAAAACGAAGAAAAACATGGAGACTCCAAGGGGTGATTTCACTGAACTCGAAACTCGATCCAAGCAAACATCAGCGTCGCTAATTTCGTTCTTTTTTTTCGCGAAAGCGGAGCTACTTTCTTTACACTCTCGTGAAAGTAAAATGCCCATTTACGTCTAATAAATTCTTCACGATGAAATACACTACCGAATAACTTTGTTTCTTTACTTCTTGTCACTTCTAGGAGTTCCTACGGCTTTATAAAAATCTCGGTGAGCCGTAAACGCGCGACGATCCGCGACCTGGCAATAGGAAAACGGCAATTATTACGATTATTAGCCCGTGGAGAATAAATTATACGAAGAGGACGATTAACGTGGGGCCGGGGCCGCGTAGAGTCGCTTGATTTCCGACCGATATCTAGAATTCGGCTTCTCGGGGACGGAATAAACGGAAGAAAAAGAAAAATGGTCGGGACACCGCAGAAACAGATCGAACGAGTTCGTTTAGATGGGATTCCAGCACTCACCTGGATTGCCCGGCCCGCTGAAGGGCGGTCCGTGAGGATGAGGGGGCGGATGGGCACCGAAGAATTCATGGTGAAACGCCACGGGCCCGCCGTAACCGAATTCGAACTTCTCCGCGCCGAAATATGGAAAACCGGGCGGCGGTCCGTCCTCGCCGCCCAGAGCACCGGGATTCAGGTTCAGAGGGAAGCCCCTCATTTTTCTGGAGCCGCCGAAGAACGGGCTCCTGCCCATCGACGTCAGTTGTTTTAACCTGCGCTCCTTGCTCCTCTTATTTTGAAACCAGACCTGCGCAAAAACGGGCGCCGATCAAACGCGTCCGTTCGGCTAGCCGCCGCTCGACGATTCGCCGTCCAACTTTCCGTTCCTCGGGGAAAGATGGACGCCAATCCGTCGGGCAACGAGTCGGCGAGCTCTGGCGAGCTCTCTCGTTCAACGATTTTTTCAGAGTATCGCCGATGCAGGCCTATAAAGACGTGATTATTATCTTTGTTTCGTGTTCGTTTTATGGAAGAGAATTATTTTTCAATTTTATTAGCCTGCCGGGGTTCGCAACTTGTATCTCGTAGAACTGAAGATTTCATGATACGGTTAGAGGTTCCGTGGGAAATTAAGTATCCGAGGTCCCACAGTTTCGAATGTCTGTGAAATGTTCGTTTGAATACAGTTCTAGGAATGATAAAAGTTGAATATCGTAATCTTGATACGTTGCGAACCGCTGACGTATTTAGACACGGCGGTTTCAGATCTTAACGCGCTCAATGTTTTATCACCCCTTTCGCTGCTGGCGAGTACAGTCATCACTGGATCAAATCGCACTTCCTTTATCACAATCGGGAAGGAAAGAAATCAAGAAAAGGTATCGAGAAAGTTCTTATGACAGAATTCCTTTGACAAATCACAATGTAAGTGCGACACGGCCGGACGCGAAAGCGCGACGGATAAATTCTAGTCGCGGAGAAAATTGTGTCACAGGGACTTTTCTTGTGATATTTTTTTAATGGCCATCGTAAAGGAAGTACGACATTCGTTCCATTAGCGTCAACTACCCCGTTCAAGCCTACGCGTTTCAGTAACGAAATAACTTTCTAATGGTCGAGCCCGGTTAAAGTCTAAGGGGGAACAAGGAGACGTGTATGAACCTGTATCACTCTCATGGGCAAGCCGGTCTCTTTCGCTAACTGTTCCCTGATGTGCCTGGTGGGTTTCGGAGTCGACGAAAAGGCCGACTTCAGGATCTCCAACTGTTTCGCCTTTATGGTCGTTCTCGGGCCTCGCCTCTTCGAACCGGCACCGCCGTCACCGCTACCACCGCCAGCACCGCCGTCAGGACTCTTGTTCTCCGTTTGACTATCCCTCGTCTCGGGATCTCCGTCTAGGGAACCTTCGAGCAACGCAAACCAAACCGTTTCATCATCGATTTACAAAAACCAACGAACCGTTCTTCTGGTTAGAGCAATCGTTACATCCCTTCGTTTCGAATGAAATCGAAGGAGGATAACACCAAAACTACCAGACGGGTCAAATTGACCCATTTCAGAATTTTTAATTAGTAACTATTTAAATTATAGTAAGACTTTTGCGAAAAATTGTAAAGTAAATTTGTGTATTTGTACAGATACAACAAGAAGGAACCCATTAGGTCTTGAGAAATATATTTTGCTGATTTTTATAATAACTTAGAAATAAGTCACTACAATTGTTCGGTAGTTTTGGTGTTAAGATCATTCTTTGAGTAATTAATATGTTAGAGGGAAACCTTTGCTCTTGGGAGGTGACTGAAGTTTGATGGGAGTCGCTTAGAAGCCAATGCGGTTAAGTGTAAGACAAAGATTGAGGACATCAATGCTTTGGCTTCTGAAATTGTTATACATATTCAGAGGATATAAAAAGAAGGGCTTTCTGACCTAGACACAAAGAAAAAAGTAATACATTCTTTAATAACTAAGAATATTATTTATTCCGTTAAAATTGACAAAAATCAGAAAATATCAAATACTAGACTTAACCACATTAACTTCTGAGCGACTGTATGCACTATTAACCCTTTGCACTCGGAAATTTCTCATTAGAAATATTTAACATTTTTTGACAAGACAAAGACGATATTCCTTGAAACTAACCCAACAGGAAATCACAATTACATTGAGGAACAAAGCTATTTAATTCCAATATTTCACGTATCGAGGCGTTATACAAACATTAAATATCAGATTTTATAGTTTTACTGCGTCAAATAAAGTAATGACCGCGCATTGCTTAATTTCTCTACATTTTCTCATTAGTTAGTTCCAAAGAAAGCGTACTCATCGAAAAACGCTGAATATCTAAAAACCGACTGCAAAGAATTGAACCTTCCACATCAAACTGAAAACCAACTCGATCCTTTCAAACTCCGAACGAAAAAACAAATCCGAAAGCGATCTTAGAATCCGCAAAGTCTACGAGTTCGAATCACAAGCGAGGTAGAAAACAAAGGGTTAAATCCCGCTCGGGGCCTGCTGAGTGGATTCCCGGCAGGAGTCATCGGCTGAACAAACAATAACATTTTTCGGGGGCATGGTTCCTTAATAACGCGCACACGCGAACGCGTACACGATATACATATCTCGGAATCTCGATCAGCCGGATCGAGGTAACAACAATCGGAGCCAATCCCCCGGAAGCGATGCGAAACCCCCGTCGGATTATCGTGGCTGCTCTTCGGTTGAAAGCTATACTCGACCCGTTGCTCGTGTACGTGTGAGCGCGTTTACACGCGCGGTCCTTTTGCGAATGCGAGCGCGCGGCAACGCACACGCGCGCACCGCCGAAACAGGGGTCGAACTCTTCACGATAATCTATATACAGGCCGGGTAGGTATAAGGTCTTAACCACGGGACAAAGAAAATGTTTGGACAGTGTCACGCCGCGCGACGGGGGCCACCCTTGCGCGAAGACACCCCTGGTTCGGCTAGGTCGCAAGAGGAGATGCTTGTACCGGGTGTAGTGCGCGCGACGCGCGCTGGTGAATGTTCAGGGGACTCATTGTTGGCCCCACCGGACCCGATAAAAGAGCAGAGGCGAATAATAGACCGGGAAGACCTGACGCGCGGTTAGTAATTCGTGGCGACGCTACGGGTCGGGCCACTGGGTTTCCTCCCTCGCCTCGAGGAGGGGCTCGAGAACCGGGTCCCGATTAAGTCGTTAGTCGGCACCGGTCAATCGTCCTTTGGAAATCGAGTTTGTCGCCGTCGCGAACGATTTTCTGCTGGCCAACCCTCGCAGTCGAGAGCAAGGAGCGTTCGTTCAGTGTGGAACTCGATTTTTGCGACGGAGAATTGCTGCGGGATAAACGTGTTATAGAAACGGTGGCGCTTTAAAGGATTTCTTCGAGGAGTTGTTTAGATGATTGGTTGGATAAGTGGTTAGGGATTATTCTTTAGGTGGGAATGATTCGACTTTTGGTGGGCGGTACCCTATTATAAATAGTAGTATTACTAGTAGCGGTAATGGTGAAAGATGCCGAGAAAGTCAGGAGGAAAGCTTGAAATGCAAGTTTTCGTATAGCAATCTACAGGAATGGGTGGGGTGAAACGTATCGATTACCCTGACTTCGATCTGTCGATCAGAATCTGAGTCTACGAAGCTTCAAAGAAGATTTCTAAAGGTTATAAACCCTCGATCCTCATCCCACCTCCCTGAAAAAGGTTTGTCAAAAGATGGAATTGCAGGCTTACCTTGATCCTCCGAGTCTTCCTGCTTGCAGGGATCGTTTCCGAGAGGTAGATCGCCAGTGTGGCCAACCGTCTGGTCACCAGGACCACCCGGGCCCAGATTATGGGGCCCCAGGTGGGGGCCACCGACACCACCGTGATGATGGTGAGCACTACCGTCCTCGTCCTCGTCCTCCGATCCCGAACCCATCAGCGAGTCGCCTCCTGCCGAAAGGTTGGACGATTCTGCTCGTAAACGATTCGAACCGTGCATTTATAATCACTTCAATCATCGAATCATTGAGTCCGAAAAGAGCGCCAGTCACTTTTCCGTTCAATGATCTGTCGTTCGTTGCGCGGCTCGGGACGCGATTCGAGCACTCTCGCCGCGTCGCAAGAAAGTGAACGAATCGCGTTGTGTTTCCTACGGAACCGAGGGATTACGGAGAAAAATCGCCACATTTCAGTGAAAGAATCTGAATTTCTCTCGAAATCAGTGATTCGATCGCCACTCCGGCGTGACTCTGTGCTTTCGAGGCGATACGAAAGCTTAGAGTACACTGGCCTCGATGGTAAATGGCTGTAATAATTTTCCCTGCGATTCTATTATTAACACTAGAACTATCGAGCAATAATATTGAGATACTTAGGAAAGTAGATTTCTTGAGATTTGAACAGCTTCCTATTGCTGTACTTGCACAGATTCAGGAATTTTGAAATTTCTCACGAAAGCACTCTTAGCATCTTAATAATGGGGAAATAAGAACCTTGAAATCGGTCATTTTGTGCCGTCTGGTGGTTCTAGTGTTAAAATAGATGTTTTTACTATCTTGCATCGGAATCAACGATGAACAGGTTCATTCGACAATCTGTTGGAAGAATATATTACGGCAAACTTACATCTACAAAACCTTTCGTTTTATCAGCCGCACAACACTAGATTCATTCGATCTATCAATCCGGCGAGTATCAGATTTCATGAATATTGTTCCTTAGCAAATTTACGTTGACCCCGATTGATGTACCGACACGTACGCGCGATTCCGGCGAAACGTACAACAATCGACGTCGGTAAATCCGGCATCGAGCACTGATAAACTTTCCGCGACGCTAAACTATAAACAATCAGCCGCATTATGAACGCGCAAAATCAGCGCTCTGATAGCGACGAAAGTTTATCCCCATTTGTGCACCGGACACGCGAAAACGTCCGGCGCGTAGAACCGCCACGCTCTCCGCGTGTATCCATCCGGCGTAACGTACCGACGTCAAACAACACGGATAACACGGGCAAAAATTAACTGTTATCGGAATATTATATGCAAAGTGTCTTCACAAAATTCGACCGGATCTCGAAATGACGTCGATCAACGTCAAGTTTAGACGGACAAAAGCCTCGGGGTGCGCGACAGCGAACCCGCCGCCGGGGGTAGGTGAACATCATTTATCAGCGGTGCGAGTAAATTTGTCGATGCCCGGTACGAAATTACCAATTAAACGCGATTACAATTATTCGCTTTTGAATAACGCGGCCGGAGGGCGGCGCGCCGCGGCGATCGATAGTTTTTCGAAGAGTAGCAATTTGCCGATCGCCTCTCTTTCTCTCTCCTCCGCGGCCATTTTTCCCCCTCGGATCGTAATTTCGCGTGTTCAGCGACAAAAGACGGTTAAAAGTTATCGGACAAACGTTCCTGATTAATCGACCCGGCCGCCGCATAATTGCTGCGCTTTTCACGCGCGGCGCCGCGCAGACGATCACCGCGAATTCGACAACTGACAAATGGCCGGCCGGTGATAGAGATTAATGTCGGAAACGGGGCGGCACATCCAGACGTCACGATGTTTGATCATCGAAAACCGGCGATTCGTCGTTCGCCGATCGCCGAACGCTTTTCGTCGAAGGCCGGGCCCCGCCTCGGGGATACTCTCCGCGGAAAACGCCGGTGGACCTTCCAGGTATGCGAATCGTGACTACGTCCTACGTGACATTGACGTTTTATCGGCGCCGTAATCGGCTACGTGCACACCTAGCCGCGGCAAAAACCGTTCGAGAGAAATTGTTAAACCTTCCGGAGGCCCAGGTTTTTCGATCTAGAACTTGTTTCCGTACCAGTTAATTGAATCGTGTTTTGACATATTATCTTATTGATTCATTCATCCCACTCGGGTAGTATCGAAGTCGCAACTGATCAAGTGAGAAGTAAAATTAACATTTTATCTGATCTGACATTAAGAAATGCAGCGATCAAAGTGTAATCGAACGTTTACATCGATATCCGATCTTCGAATTTAGAGAAATAAACGAAACTTCACGTTCAAACTGTGACTAACGATCAAAGCGTAATTAAACGTTTACAATTGCATATTCGCAACGTTTACATCGATATCCTACATTCCTCCAATTCGAATTGAAAGCAACAAAAGAAGAAGCTTCACGTTCGACAGCTTTGGTAGTAAGAATCACAGGTGCCTTCGATAAAGAGGTCAACTAACGAAATCCTCGCCGAGAAATTGATATTCCCCGAACCGAGACGATTCTCTAGCTGAAGCACTCCCGGATGATCGCCGCGGGATCACCGATCGAGACGCCAGGACGATTATGACGCGTCGGTCTGACGCGCGCGTAGAACGCGCCGAGGACGGGGCAGCGGATCCCGCGCTCCCCGCCGCGAGAAAACGAAAAAGAGACGGGACGTTCTGCGGTTTCGACGTCGGCATCGAAGCGACAAAAGGTTCGCCCCTGCCTAACGACCTTTCGGTTTTCGTTTCACGGCTTACACACGAGCTGGGCCCTCGTGAAACCGAGCTGCCTCTTCTCCCTTTCGCCTTCTCCCCTTCCCCTCTCGCCAAGCCACTTTTTCTCCCCCTCTTTCTCTCGGTTACTCGTTAG